CATATATATATATATATGCCTACGTACATTGAACCCCCTGGCACCACCCCAATGTAAGCATATATGGCAGTCCCATGGAGTGTCTGGGATTGAAACGATAGTCAACTACCAGGACCCACTTCTGGAAATGAATGCTGTACCCATCCATCACCTCTTTTCGGAGCGAAGAAAAGACCTCTATAACATGGGAAGCGGATGGCATAGGCCCCTTGGAAGGCCATGTTCCGAATACCAAACAGAGAGTCCTCCATGTCATTAGTTCCAGGGAGTGTATATAACTTTCTGGACGTGTCTCCTCTTTTTTTTGTGGCTGGTCTGGGTCTGAAATTGCTCAACCTGTTGAACTTTGGCCATGATAGGTGTGTTTTTTTCGGGCACTCAGTTCTCGGACTAGCATGACGAAATGCTCCAGCAAAATGAGATCCCAACATGAGTCAAGAAAGTGGATGGGGCCCGTTGGATGATCATGAAATCCATTGAAATCCTCCTACTACCTCTCTCTCTGTGTTGTTTCATCAGGCTTCCCTGCTGTCTGAAGAGCTGCCGTCCGGTCCTGCAAAACGTGAGACGTTTTGGACCCCCAAAGGGCTCCCAGGCTTCGCTGCGAATAAAGGCTCCAAGCCCCAAGGCCTGTGATTCAGGTAAAACAGGGGTGAACCAAGGAAAGGCCAAGCCACAAATTGCAAAAAGACACTACCAATCAATCATATACAGTACTAGCCAAATAGTTGGGGAAACTCTCTGTAGCTCCCAACGGCTCCGATCGATCCCGTGAAAAAACCAACAGCTAGTAAGCTGAGTGATAGAGTTTGGTTGAAGGAGGTGGCCAAGAGAAGATGCAGGTCTGGATGCTGGAGCATGTTAGTTGTCCTTACTTGTTCTTTTCTTGTCTTTAGTGGAAAATAGGGATAAACCTCTAGTTGCTGACAACTGAAGTTCTCCTGTTTTCCCAAACATCTTTTGGCAAAGCCACCTGGCCACTTGAAAGTGTAATTGGTCCTCGAGCAACTTCCGCCGTGTGCTGCGTGTTTGTTCCTTGGGAATGTCGTTGCAAAATGTTGCCAAACAACAAAAGGGCACCGGACTACAGCACAGTACCACACCCCTCTCAGAACAAGGATGACATATATATATATATATATATGAATAGCACCCTGTGTGTAAAGGACCAAGTATCTTTTGTTCAAATGAGCTAGGCTCACCAAAATCCTGATGACCTGCAACTCCAAAAAAATTGACCGTCGCTCGTCGCTCAAACAGCCAAAGCACCGACAGTGCGGTGTGGGGACGAAGAAAGGTACGGACAAGCTGTACGGACAGTCGCAGCCGCAACAAAGCACTATATAAGCATGGACGGTTCTGCCGAAATGGTCTCCTTTCGTTTGACAACAGGATCTCCAACAAAATCTCTGAGTGCTTTCTTGGAGTGCATTAAAAAGTGTCAAACAAAGGACATTCATATTATGTGGGAGAGGGATGGCAAGGGACTCCCCCAACTGAAAACGAGACAAATTATCCCTCTGTATCTCACATCTTACGAACAAACAACGGGTGGTCGGTTGAGCTGTAGTGTGGAGTTCAAGTGCAGGGCAGCAGTTATTAGGCAAAGGTTCACATGTTGAATGTGTGTTGCTCGCTTCGCTATCGGGTTGCCTTCCTCTTTGTTCCAGGTCTGTAAACTAGCATGCATGTGGAAAAGCTTTGGACTCTGAAGAGGTCCGGGCGTCACAGCCACAGTCACAGCAATGGAATATCTAAACTGGAACGCTCAACTGGACCGTTTGGAAGAAGAACTGTTCTGAACGGCGAGCTCATCTTGTTTACAAAGGACATGCAAAGAGGAATCTCGAAGCTATATGACAGGAGCCAATGTCCTGACAATATCCGTCTGTTCTTTTTTGTCGGTGCGCCTTTCCCATTCAACAATTCAAACTTCACGAACCAAGGACTATCTAAACAATAACAAACACGTCCTGTTGAGTTCAACATGGTTTTCTTTTCTTCCTCCAGTCCTCCAGAATCCACAGCCACAAAATACATATGCCACGGCCACTAAGGCCAAATGAGGCCCCTGAGGCTCCAGGCCAGGTCGGAACAGGACTTTTGCATCTCCTGGGTCCAACTGGAATCACTCAAATCGTCCCACCCCAACCACTCGGATTTCCGCTTGGTTGGGAACCGACTAGTGCCTCTTCGGGTCTTCGGGGAGGTTTTTTCGGGCCGGTGGTTGGGCCAATTGAAGACTTCCAGGCAACTCTGGATGGTCTGCGAACCACCATGAAACTCTGCGGATGTTTCATGGTCACCCATGGGGTGGCTCCCAAAGACTCCTTGTTGATCTTCTCGCGAGAAAAGGTCAAAATAATGCATGAGTTCATCAACATGTGTCATGACATGTCCCCATCCACCCTCTCAACAAAACACGATAATCATCTTGAATAATCTTTCAATTGCTCTCCATGGTTCAAATGGATTGGGAATGATTGGGATGGATTTAGTAGTGGATTTAGTCTTTTGCAAGTGACACAGCCTGAGTGATCCTGTTCATTTGGGATCCATGATGAATGCTGAACTCCATGCATCTCCACTGCCTAAACCTGGACCTCGGTCCAGTCACCCTGCAGTTCAGGTCATGGTCGCATGTTCATAGGACACCTTTGCTCTCACCCCCCCAAAAAAGGTCCAGCGCCAGGTCTTTCATCTGCTTTCCTCCCCACAGCGCCCGCGACCGCGCCCCAGCGACTCAGGCTCGGTGGGTCCTCGGCCTGGGCCTTGAGCTGGGCGAGCTCATGCTGCTTGTGGGCGACCTCAGTGCCGCTGCACTCGGACGGTTGAGCCGCCGGTGTGGAGCGAGGTGGGGAATCTCATTCTGGGAGGTCTGGGAAGTTGGATTGGATTCCCGACTCTGCCCAGATCAAAAGGTCAAACTTCTCAAAATAGAGTGACGCTCAGGTAATCTCAGGTATCAAATAGCGACACAATAGCCGGGGTTTTTGTTTTGATGTTTCGACTGTCCCTAGAGTTGGCCCTCGTCCTTCTACGACCATTATCGGCGGCAAAACTCCCTCTCACACTGTAAAAACTCCATGCAAGGGTTTTGGCCAAAATCACTTTGGACCCAGCAAACCCTTTGCCCTCAACATCCAGTGTCGAACAGGACACGTTTCAATTTGTGGAATACAACGAGTCACAAACATGGGGATGGGTCAAAAATGGTGGGAACATCATGTCTTGACCTTCTGGTCAACCAAGGTATCCTTCTGGTCAATTCGTCGTTTTGCAACACCACCACTCACCATGCCACGAGGCATCTCGCTCCAATTGTTCGGCACTCCGCGCCAAGCGCTGCCGTACCTGGTTTTGTAATGCTTCGTGACAGGCCGCAGAACTTTTCCCGACAAAAAAAACTGACATGAAAGGGAACAAGTACCCGAAATCAAAGTCAAACCTCCAAGAAAGGTTCGGTTTGGGGAAACTGATTGAAACATTTTGAAACTACCTTGCAACCAGCGAACAAAAAAACTGTGGAACGCAATTAAGCCCTCAACATGTAAGAACTTGTTATATATGTTATATACAGTTGTGTCTCCGGTTTTCATCAACTTTGCACAGCTTGCTTGGGCTAAGCAACGTAGGAAAGCGGCACAGGTGTTGGTGATAATAAAGCTCTAGCATAGTGCCAACCCGGTCGATTCTAATTTTCAAACTTGCAAGTTTGGGTTCTGAAATCTACAAGGACCTCCCGAAGGGCTCCCAACAGCTTGTCTCGGTTCCTACACCTAATCCAGCCGCACCAGATTGCACCCAATCCAATCCGCAAAGGAAATGCCCATTGCCAGGTGGTTTTTTCTTCATGACTTCCCAACCTACCAAGATAGATCCAAGAGTGGTTCCCCCTTGAAACAAGATATGAATCATATGGGCCTTCTCCATCTTGGGATCGCATCCTCCAACCTATGGAAGTTCACAACCTCGATGTAATAACATCAAACCATATTTTTGTGTAGACTGGCCCACACTTCTTTGATCTGTTTTAGTGCAGAAGAACAAACAAATTTTGGAACAGGAACAGTAGAAAACACGGAGAACACAACATGTAATATACACATAAGTTGGATAACAAACAACACAAAATTTCATGCACAAAAGCATTGATGAACGTTGCAAAATGTGTTTTCTAAACATGAATAGCCAAGCAATTATAAGAACAACTGCTTAGGGTAGTATAAGATTTTGGTATGTGCAAACATTATAAGAACCCCTGTTGTATTAAACATAAGCAAATTTATCAAAATTTTGGAGAAGTCAGCGCAAGTAAAGCAATCAAGCATATTCTAAACACATTCTTACAATTACAAATTGGAAACGTCATAAAACATGAGTTAAGTACAAACAAAAATTGTTCTCTTATGGTTGGAAACGGCATGGTAAAACATGAAAAGAACAACTAGGGATCAACCCCACTCAGGCGTCGCGCGTGTTGAAGGTCAAAATGTATGCAGGTTTCGGGGCCTTTGCCAAGAGTTTCACCGGCTCGTCCTCTGCAAGATTTCTGTACTGCCAGCTGCGGACACATTGGGTCAGCTGCGGGTTGACAGAACGATTGATTTCGTGCGCGGGCTATATGGCTGGCTGGCAAAAGAAACAACGGATTCCAGCAGCTGGCTTTTTGAGTTCCAGCAATTTTGCTGGCTCGCCATTTGGGCTTGCGAGGAAGCTTCCAATATACTCATGCATTGCATGCTTCTTTGAAGCCTCATGCGCGCCATACCTGGGAACAGAATTGTAGTGTGTGTGTGTAGTCTTGCTCTGCCACAGCCTGGGTTCATAGCAATGAATGGCTGGAGGCAGTGTTCCAGGCGCAAAGCGCCCAACGAAAAAAGAAATCGCCAAAGGCAGATAGTGGTCTATCCGTAGATTTCAATGTCCAGCAAAAATCCTGCGAAGGCAAAGTGACTGCTGCAGCGAAGACAGCAAAACCATGTCAACTCATGCTTCCGTCAAGCTGACAAGCCAACAGAAGGAACATCACAGCTGGGTGCGGAAGGAGCGATGAGGCGCCTCAGGAACCGCAAAGCACTCCGCTGCCTATCAAGCGCTGAAGCAGACCAGGCCACTGCAGCATCAAAGGTAAATTTCCAATCAAGAAGCTCGTGCACAGACCGAGCGGCCTGTTCCTGAGCTTTGGCGTCGGCTCGCTTGTTAAGGAGTCTCCAAGTCTCGGTCCAATCAAGAAGCTTATCGTGCGAAGGCACCCACGCAATTTCGTGGGTGGAGCAAACTAAGCTTAAGGCCTTCCACAGGCCCGGCGCCCACTGAGGCAAATATCCCGTCGTTTGGATTTGCTTCACACGTCTGACGACTGCAAGGTTATCGCAAACCAACAGAAGATCTACGCGCAAATGAGTCGCAGCAATGAAAGCTTTCAAAACAGCAACCGATTCAGCGCCAAAAATGTTTTGATCCAGTCCCTGGAGACGGGCAGCAAAAACCCGGTCGGTTGTTGCGACACTCCAAGCAGCCCTGCGCAGATTCTGGACCTTTTGAGAACTACCATCGGAAGCTACCAAAAGTACCTGGTCGGCCGTGGCAGTCCTACGAAAAAGATCACACAAATTCGGATCCGGTCGCAAAAACTGGCTACACCTTTCATCAGGTATGGGAGGAAGTTGGATGCTAGGAACGAGCAAACGTTCCTCAGCTTTGCGTGTAGGCCGAGAAGCCTCAGGCAACCCTGGGCAAGAAGGACAATGCCACGTGACATGTGTGCGTGAAGGCCATTCCCTCCCGCATGCACAATTGAAGGACTCAAGCTCATGCTGCTTGGCGAGTTTACGACTATCTTTGCCAGCGCCGACCGCAATGCAGAAGGACTCCCAATCAGAGACGCCCTGACGCATCCAAGCTGAATGCGCCTGGTAGACTGGCAAAACACGTTGACAAACCTCCGCGTCATCTTGCGCGCGGGGCTCGTTTCTCCAAAGGTACGCCAGCCATGCGTGTCTCATGGCCTCTTTGATTGCCGGCAACCCGTCAAATGCCAAATCAAGGTCCCCCTGCGGGGTGCGGAAACGACTCTGCGAGATGTGCTGCCACTGCCACTTGTTCAAAACTTCTGCCAATCGGTAAGAGGTCGAAGGTTGGGGCATAGCGGCACACACCTGCTCGATGTCGAGCAGGGAACAGCAACTTGAGACAGCACGTCTGACTTTCCAAAGCTCATGAAAGACTACCCGCCTGTCCAACGCGAATTCAGGACAAAGATCCGGACCTAAATACTGCCAAAGCAGAAAACGAGACCTGCCCGGCACGGCACGGCCGATGATGGTTTGCTCAATGGTGTTACGCCACTGATTCAAGAGCTTTTTGGACACAGTTGTCCACGGCCCCGAATGAGCAAACAAAGACAACACCAAACTGCGCGTGAGCTTGCGTTTGTTTCTCTGGTTGCTGGTTGCGGTCCGAAGTCTGCGCAGTCGCGCAGAAACCTTGCGAGTCACAGTGTCCTCTACAGGTGTGCGCCGACGCTTGGAGAGAGAGTAGTGGACACCAAGGAGCTTAAATTGTCTGCAAACTTTCCAGTTCCGGTGGGACTCATGATTCCACCGTTTCACTGAAACGAGCTGAAATGAAGAACACTTACAAAAAAGCTCGCATTTGGAGTGATTCAGACTCAAGCCCAAAGCCTCTTCAATCCTACTGGACGCTTCGAGTGACAGACAAAGCTGACGCCAATCGGAGCTCCACAGGGTTCTGTCATCAATAAAAACAGAGACACAGACTTGGGGTGCACTGGCTTTAATGTGCCAATACCACACCGTCATCAGGCCGGCTAGCAGACCGCAACTCAAGGGACAACCCTGCAAAAGGCCTCGAGAACAACCAAAAGGTTTAGTGGAAGAACCTAACCATTCCATGGTTTTCGTCTGTTTGTCATAAAAGGATTGGAGGACAGCCACCACAGTGTGAGGTGCCCCCAACTTGGACCAGACACGAAGAGCTTGCTTAACATCGACATGGTCGAAGCATTTGGAAATGTCGATCTTAGCTCCAAAAACCTTGGGCCAAGCTATGCTCTCATGCAATTGTTCATGCGCAGTAGCTGAAGATCGGCCTTTCAAACCGCCCACAAGTTCATCAGGGGCCCATGAATCAATCCAATGAGCCAGCTGCTGAGCAAGGACACCTATGCCAGTTCGCCAGGCAAGGGCTGCAATGCTGATGGGTCGGAGTCCGACCTCTTTGGGAATCAAAACGCAACGAACTGAGTGCCACTGGTATGGCAAGCGCGCCGTTTTCATAACCACATTCCACAACTTGGCCAAGGCATCAAAGAAACCCATGGGCAACAAGGACCATGAGTCACCCGTCCAACCGTCAGGCCCATGGGCCTTGCCAACAGCTTTTCGTACCTGAGATCTGAGATTTGCAGGTGTGAAATTTGGCTCTGAGCAAGAAAAACCCCCGGGCGGGATCCAATCCAAGAAAGGGTCAACAGCCTCTTCTTGAGCCAGGGAAGGCGGGGACCAAACTTTCTGCCAAAAATTTGCAAAATGTTCGGCTTTGCGCTGTGGGTGCACCGGGACCCGAGAGTCGTCAGTGGCAAAGCAAGAAACCTTGTCAGCTCCTTTCACCCATCGAACAAGGGAAGACTCGTCTTCCTCCATTTTACGCTTCCAGGACTGCAGCCGAGCTTCCCGACTAGCACATATTTCTTTCTGCAAGCATTGCTCGAGGACAGCGATAAGATTTGTGTCCAGATTCTGAACCTCAGTGAGCTCAGGAAAATGCTTTTGCAAGTACGGCAGCGCATTCAGCACTTTACGTGCCAAGCTCCAATCAGCATCAGTCTTTTGCAGCTCTGCCAGACGTCGCAGGGTGCGACGGAGGCGACGCTCCAACACAGTCTGAAGTCTTTCGACCTTAGTGGGCGCTGTGGCAACACATGTGGGACCAGGAACTGTCGTGCGTGAACGACCTACCGAATGGGGTTGCAAAAGAGACTCGGCATGGTCACTTAACAAATTCCAAGCACGCTGAACATCCTGCTGCGCTAACAACAAATCAAACCGTTCAAGAGGAAAAGAAGCATCCCACCGCTCTTGCTCGACGGGTTCTTTTGCCTTTAAGGTCTTAGGAGGAGGGACTTTGAAACAAGGCTCCAAACCGGCAACCGCAAAATCATACATGACTGCGCAGTGGTCAGCAATCCCTGCGGACTGGCTTCTGGCGCAAGGGACAAGACCTATAGAGTGTAAAGCAAAGTCAATATGCCGACCTTTGTCGTGAGTCGGAATGGCTAGGGTTTCAATGCCAGCCACATCATCGGCCATATGCAAACACCCACTGCGAAGAACTGAACACACAGGCTCTTCTTCAGCGGTGCAGTTCCAGTCACCTATGAAGATGCAATCTTCACCGCTGACAGCGATCGCCTCAAAGAGACTCTTACCTAAGTTCCGGGCTTGCATCTTATCCGAAGCATGCAAATAAAGGTTGACGCACAAAAAAGGCCGTGAACCAGGCCTGTGCACTCTCATGATTTGCCACCTGCCTTGTTGTGCCCGGAGAACACAGGAGGGGTCAGGTAACACATATTTGTCAACAGGCCATTTGCTAAGTATGGCAACACCGGCAGTAGGTGCTCCCGCATTGTTCATAGCACAAGGGCTAGCGAAAAATTGCCAACCACTGCGCTTGGCTGCGTGAGACGCGGCCAGCAAGTTATCTTCAGAAAGTCTGACTTCCTGCAGACACAAAATATCGACTGACAAGCTGTCAGCCAGTTGCAACACTTCGGGCATTTTGCCCTTGAGAGAACGCACATTGAGTGTGGCGATTCGCAAGGCACCATCATGCTTGGGACATCGTTGTCCCCCATTGGCAGCTTCAAGTACAGTCATGGGGTTGAGCTGCTAGTCGCCTTCCCAGTGAGCAAATCAGTCAGCTCACTTAACGCTTTCAAGCGTTTGCCTTTGGCTCCCTTTGCGTTTTCATCGACCTGTCGCAAGACCCGCTCACGCGCAGGGGACCAAACCGCTGCTGAACTGCAGTTGAACTTATTCAAATGCTTCTTTGTGGCAGACAGGCGACGGCAGCGAGTGCAGAACAAAGCGGCCTGCTTGCGTTTGCCTGGCGTCTGGACCTGGACCACATTGTGGGCTCTTGGGACCAGCTCATCCACATTGGCAGGAGGAGAAATCTTCGAAACCACCTGCAAGGTTGCGGTGTGCTCCTGCGAACCTACACTGAGCTTATCAGCAAACTTTTGCAAACTAGCAATCAGCTGCTTTCGCTTCGGACCTCCTTTGAAGGAGGCATCGCATCTCACGCTTGAAAGCTTCTTGACGGAGCTTGCCAAGGCCTTACACTTCTTACAAAAAAGCTTGTTGTGGAATCGACGCACAGCTTTGCCTTTGCCGACATGTGGGAGCTGGAGGATCTCGCAATCGTGCTCTCCCTGCTCACCGGCCTTCAAATCAACCATTCTTCTTGCCAGACCTGCAGCAGTCTTGGCGATGGTCGCCTTTCGTGCATTGGCACTGCTGCCTCGGGCACGCACGAAACGCTGGCGTTTGGCCCTGGGGTGGCATCTATCACGGTGAGCCAAACGCATTCTGTAATGCATATCAACATCGCTGACAGTCTTTGGGACACCCGAAGCGCACAGAGGGCATTTCCAAGAGCAAAGGTCGGGATCCCATGGGATCAGGTCAGCGACTCTGTGTCGGTTGGGAACAGAATTGTAGCTACCCTGGGTCCGTATAAATACTATGTTGCTATACCTCTTACACACCTATACAAGTTCAAAGCACGAATGAGACTTCAAAGCTGTGGATTGCTGTGCGTGTGTAGAGGTTATCGAGCGGTTGACGGAAAGGGAACTTGAAGTACTATACCTGGTAGCTGCACTATAGCTACCCTGGGTCTCTATACCTGGCAAGGTGCCAACTACACCTTTCCATTCAGATGATGCAAATGATGCATTTGGCATTTCTTGCGTCACCACCCCTCAAAAGTCACCTCCAACACAACCTCGAAAAACCTTCCCTCGAAGCACCCTCCTCCCCCAGCATGTGCCGAGTTTACGTGTACCTTTCCCGGGCCACCCCCCCAGACCCCCTAACTACTCACTTCGTTCGCCAGACACAACTCCGCTAGCGCCTTCTACGAAGGCTGGCTTTCGTAATCTGTTTTGACCACCTCCGCAGTGACTTTAGCACTTTCTTGCTTTCGTTTTCGTTGCTTCTCTCGCTTTCTGTTTCTCTGCAGCTTTGTCTTCCCCGTGCATTGTTCTGCAGCAAGCTTTTTGCGTTGCCGCTTCATGCGGCCAAAGCCGAAGCCCTCAAGCCCCAAAACTCTGTGGCCCTTGGTAAAGTGCAGCCATTTGCAGCCCTTCACAGTCTCACCACAGAGGGAGCAAACACGCTTCTGCGAGGTGGGACGTGCCAATGGCATGGCATGTGGAGATCGCGCTAAAGTATGGCGGAAACATAAGGGAAAGTCAGTCCAAGCCGAAGAGTTTTCCTTAATACTTGCCCGGTGGTTGGTTAGCTTCGACTTATAACCTAGGTTATAAGTAGTCCTAACCTACTTATAACCTTGGTTTTAAGTCTACTAACCTCTATAAGGGTTAGCTTCGACTTAGCTTTAAGTTAGCTAAGCCAATAGGAGTTAGTAAGTACTTAGGTCTGACTTAGCTAAGTCACAAGTAAGTAAGCTAAGTCTAAGTTGGACTTAGCTGTCACTTATAAGTGACTTATAAGTCGAAGCTAAGTCGAAGCCAAGTCAAAGCTAAGTCCAAGGTATAAACTGATCATAACTTATGAAACCAATGATTTAATGTAACATTAGCTTTTGTGTATACCATTTTGACCTTTTGTGTAAATATTGCGGCTACGACGAATTAAAGTACTTCAATTCATTATTTATACATAGTTGTTGAAAAACAAAATTCAATAAACACATATGTTTTTTTAAATGACTATTATGTTAAATTGTTACACTTTCTTGAGTTTATATATATATATATTTGTTTCATTACCTTAATATCTTAATAGTGTATTGATTTAGAACATATTCAAGGTTTATTGCAAAAATGTTAACATATGTCTCAATCACAAAATGATGACTTTTAAATGTTGTATATATATATATATACATTAAACTGATATTCTATTACTATGTTTTAACCTACCAACAACAAATATGTATATACAAAATGTTCATGTGATTAATATGTACATCACTATTGATCAAATAGTAATCCATATTCTATGTATTATTGTTTAACTATATGTTTTTATTGAAAATAGAAAAATGTTACCGTTAAAGTATTGATTGTTTAGGGTAACAATATGATAACAAACTGTCATAATATGTTATGACAGATTATGACAATCAATACGTTAGCTGTCATATTTTTATGACAAGACTTCATTGGAAAAGTAAATGTCATAGAGATGTTGTCATAGTTTTTTTTTATGACGCACTATGACATATTGTCAGAACATATTATGACAGTTGATTATCATCTAAATTGTAAAGTAAAATAGATTTAGTAAATATAAAGTCTAATGAACAAAATACTTTACATATATGTATTGTTGATGTATGTGTATTATTCTATTCTATATATATTTGTTTGATATATTATATCAATACAGAAAGGAGCGCTCTGAGCGGCGCGTTTTTGCATTGTTTCATTTTGTTTGTATTTTGTTTCTATATTTGCATTGCGTTTCTATTGATTTTTGTGCCACTGAAAGAATACTATTCTGCCTCAACCCCCCCCTCCCCCAAAGGCAATTTCCAAAATTCCAATTTTCCAAAATTCCAATTTTCCAAAATTCCAATTTTCCAACATTCCAATTTTCCAAAAAAAAACCAAAGAAACCAAAAAAACCAATTGTGCCAGGACTTTGCCTCACCCCCTCTTCCCCCCATGGTCTGTGCAGAATTGTTTTTTTTGGTTTTTTGGTTTCTTTGGTTTTTTTGGAAAATTGGAATTTTGGAAAATTGGAATTTTGGATTTTTTGATTTCCTGGGATGTTTTAAATTTGTAATTTCCTTGGAAGTAGACAATACTACCACTTTCTCTCAATTCCAGAACAGTCTCTGAAACCCTCAGTGATTTGTTCATTAGGGTCTAATAATGCTCCTTCTGCTCCTTTAACTCGAAAATTGGTAATACCTGACATTTTAGAATTATAACCAGTAAAATTGACATCTGCAATTTTTTCAAATGACATACCAATAATGAATTTGTTCTTTCTGTATTGACGATACGAAAAACTTAAACTGTCATGTACTGTATAGCTCTTCTTAAATAGTAAAAGATTTATGATAATGATTGCGCTTCAAATTCTGTGTATTTCTGGGAATTGCTTAATTGAATTTGCCAACTTAAACTACGGGTGGCATCTTGAAAACCTTTGTACCTTGTAAGTCATTTGTATCAGCATTACCAGTATCATTAAGTCTTCCATAGATCATAGGATTAATTCCATCTCTTATATACATAATTGTCAGGTAAGTATCGGTTCAGTTCTTCACCACTCCTTGGAGTTCTAAATAAGGTAATGAATGCTCCAGTCAGTTTAGAAGATGATTTTACAATATTCATATTAATTTCACCACCACCAGCATTGAATGTTTGGGTGATTGTGTGATAACAATTTGTAATGTTTCTTATCTTTGCCATTCCGCCCCCTTCTATGTCCTGCCATTCTAACACTCAATGGCTGACAAGTAGCACCAATATAGACATCGTCATTTTGTCATTTAGTATTCTGTAAAATTTTGCCTTGGAGTAATCCACCATAACATTACATATTTTAACTAAGTTTAAATGTTGTTTTTTAAATGAGTGATTGGGGTTAAATCCATTGCTTATATTGGTGCCGGGATTGATGTTCCAAAGGCCGTTCCCTTCAAAATTGATATAGCTGTGGCTCATTAAAGGGTTAGGTTCTTTCAAATCAGAAGTTACAGCGTAACCATCCAACATTGAAACAATATCGGATGGATTGAGGTAGTCAAGTCTTTTGGGACTTTTGTTCCTTTCCTTTTTGTTTTTTTTTGTGTAGGGGTAGCATAGGTTGTTGTAGCAAATGTATTAGGTTGTTCTTGATTGATCTTATTACAGCACTTGCAAGGTTATGCCCAACCAAACGGGTTATTTCTGGTGACTTTTCCAATTCTTCTATAACATGTTTGTATTTCTCACTGTGATGAACAGTTCTAGTAGGTACTAATAACAGATCATCCATAATATCCCTTGTTAAAGATCCATCACAACCACCTGTGCCACTTATGTATAAAGTCTTACTTGTTTTGTAAAAAGCACTTGGTGATGAATAGGCATTCCATAAGCCCCTGCGGTCTTCTATCTTCTCCTTGTTTGCTATATTTTTCTCTTCAGCATATAGTGTTCTATGTTGTTTAAAGTGATCATTTAAGTTTCTTGTAAAGTCATTCATTCTATCATTCCAATTTTGGTTCTTCTTTTTCATAATCACTGTAGGTTTCTTGACAGATCTTACTGAATAACATCTGGGCGCTTCCAGGCAGATCCTTCCAGGCAATGTCAGACACATCAATCATTCTCAAGAAAACGCATGAAAAAGGTTGAAAAATGCTCATTTTCATCGAAAAACGCGCCGCTCACAGCGCTCCCCTCTCTATCAATAATGATAAGTGTAATTTATGTATACTTTCTGTTTACGGCGTTGCCGTTCTTTGTTTGACTAGTATTTATTTTGCAGGCATTTGCGCAGCTGAACTCAAATTTGACATAGTTTTACTTTTGTGCCATGGGGCGTGGTGGCGCAAAAGGGAAAGCCAAGGGCAAAAGCAAAAGTGTTATTTATGTCACAAGCTCAGCCATAACTTTTGAAACCAATCCAAGCATAAGTATCATCGCGGCAAGTGAAAAAGGAGCTACATCCCTGACATCTGTTCAGTGTGGTTTGCGGTTGTGTGTCGTTGTTTTGCTGGCGGCCAAGCCGCGCTAACTTTTTGTTTAATATATATATATATTTACACACGTATTCAAAAAATACAAGGGTTTAGCTTGGAATGACAATTGACTTAGGTTGGACTTAGCCTGGACTTATACGTCCAAGCTAAGTCCAAGCTAAGTCGAAGCTAAGTCAAAGCTAAGTTGGACTTAGCTAAGTCAAAGCTAAGTACTTACTAAGTACTTATAAGTCTAAGCTAGACTTAGCTCAGCTTAGCTAACCAACCGCCGGGCAAGTATCATCTTTCCTTGTTCTCTCTGTTTCCAAAAAAGAGACGGGAAGGGAACCGTACATTATAGAGAGAACCAACCGGAGGAAGTAGGAAGCGTCATGTATAGGGCCGTGCGAAAAACGTGGGGGGAGTTGATTTGTAGACCGCACATGCACTTACAAAAAAGGCTGCTACAACTGCTGCTACCTGGCTCAAAAATGCCGACCCTGATGTCTTTGCGAAAAAGAGACAAGCGTCTTTCTCAGATGTGGAGTTTGTCATTTTTCGACGGATCGGATTGCACTGTCAGAGGTCAAGCCCCCATGCAAGGTCTCTTTCTTGCCTTGTGGAACTTGTGGAGCACGGAAACGGCCAAGCTCGGGACGTAAAGGACGGGCTGGACCTGCTTGCCAAGGACCTTCACGAGAAACAGGAACTTTTCCATCTAGAGTGGTTTGCTAGAGGGTTCGATGTTGATAGCGGCGAATGTGTCCATATAGGTTTCCCACCTCGGTCCATCCAAGCGAGGGTTTGATGCTGTAAGTAGGTGTTCGCTCCAATGATCGCTCCGATTGGCCAGCCTCACCCGTCAAATTGATAGTACATAGATCCTGCAGCACTTCGCCCCACTGGCCCAGCTTATTTCCATACTTGCACACGCTCTTTGCTCCACTGGCTCAGCTTCGCCAGTAAAGAAAATTCCGACGCATCCACTGGCTAAATTCCTGGTGTGCCCATGCACTTCCAAGAAACACAATCTATATATATATATATAGTTGCAAAAAAAAGCGGGCATCACCTGACTATGGCAATGCAAGTGCCGGTATCCCTGAGCACTCGGTCATAAGTCCTGCAACATCACAGGTGTCTGTGTCTTAACGATTTCCGCCTCCGAAGATATGTCAAAGACCGTCTGTGAGCCTCGATCGGGACAAAGAACCTGGAGCGATTGGCCAAGAAACGTATCGCTTCCAGGACGCCGAAACAAAATATACCGCTGCTGAGGCCCACCAGCACTTTCCACGCTAGCAGAAAAAGTGTAAATCGTGAGAGAACGAAAGGTTCACTGACTCACTATAAGTCAAGTGACGCCATCTTGACTCGCGCTTGGTGGTTGCACGGTTCCATTTGGCATTGCGCGTGAGCGAAGCAATCGTCGTGACAAAACTAAAAGTGCACTCGTCAACACTCGATTTGTGTTTCTCCCTCGGCAGAACTGCAACCAA